TCTCTCTCTCTTTAAAAAAAAAAAAAAAAAAAAGAACCTCATAAAAAATATATCTGTTTTTTAGTTACAGGTGGACACAATATCTTTATTTTATTTTCACGTGGTGCTGAGGATGGAACCCAGTGCCTCCCGCATGCTAGGTGAGTGCTTAACCTCTGAGCCTCAACCCCAGCCCAACATCCGTCCAGTTCTTTAGCCAGTCCTCTTGTTTTGGTCTCTGAAGTGTGTCTCAAGTCCAATGCTGCCTTTAGACCCAGAGTCCAGACCCCTCTCTAAGCATCCTCCTCTGGATGAGGAGTCCATGGGGACAGGCGCATGGGCACCTACCCCTTCTAGACCATGTCTGCTACTGGGACCTGTAATTCCTTGTCCTTGACCTGAGTCCACTTCCAGGTCATGAGAGGGAACTTCCCCAGGTGGAGTGTCATTGCTCTGTACACCTCCAGGCACAGGGGTGGCTGGGGGCTGTCACTCAGGGTGGGCATGAGTGGAGCTTGGAAGTGTGGCTGGGGTGTCAGTGTGCAGGTGTGCGAGGACTCACCTTATGCCGCAAAGTTGGCTGCGGTGTGAGCCTCCCGTGCTGCTGGAACAAGTTACCACATCTTAGCAGTTTAAAAAAACATATATGATTTTTTCCCTCTCACTCTGGAGGTCTCCAGGGGAGACTCTGTTCCTTGCCTCTCCCAGCCTCTAGAGTCTGCGGCATTCCTTGGCTTCTGGCCGTATCATTCCATCTCTGATTCTGTTGACACGCGACCTTGTCTTCCTCTGGCCTCCTCCCTCTCTCTTGTAGAAAACCCTGTGGTTACGGTGGGCTCTCCCAGATGACCCGTCTCCCCATCACAAAATCCTGTTTAATCTCATCTGCAAAAGCCCTTTTACCACAGAAGGTAGTATTCATGGGTTCTAGGGATCAGGCCCTGGGCACATTTAGGAAGCCATCGTTCAGCCAGCCACAGGTGGGAGGAGAAGTGGGCTCAGATGTGGCATGGAAGTGCCTCTTCCCATGCATGGATCTCTTAGGGGCATGAGGATTCAAGTTTTGGTGTTTGGAGGGGGCACTGGGGGAAACAAAGATCGAACCCAGAGGTGCTCAACCAGTGAGCCACATCCCCAGCCCTTTTTATATTTTAATTGGAGACGGGATCTTACTGAGTTGTGAGGCTGGCTTTGAACTGGCGAGCCTCCTGCCTCAGCCTCCTGAACCACTGGGATTGTTGTAGGGACAAACGAGGCAAGGCACCGAAGATAGCAGGACACAGTTTTATTTGGCTGCAGCCAGGTTCAGAGGGTACAGCCTTTGCTGTAATCAATCCCCTGAACCCCAAGTTCAGGGAGTTTCAGAATTTTATACCCAGCATGTAAGGGGAGGGGCTCAGAAGTTCATGGTCTCCAGAAGTTCACATAAAAGCAGCTTTTTCTCTCACTGTTCTGAGCAAGTCAACCCTTCAAGGACAATACCTGACTGAGAAGGAGGGAGCTTCTTCTCCCCTTTCTTCCCTCCCCTGCCAGCTGTTACCATGGGCCCATTTGTAACTTATCTTAAACATGTAGACATCTCTGTGAAGCCCAGCTCAAGGCCAGAGGCCTTGTTTGCACATTTCTTCAAAGTACTCTACTGGATACGTTTGTGAAAACTAGTGAGGGGGTGTCCAGCACCTGGAGGGCTGGTATTTTCTCGGCCAGTGGCCAAGTAAATAGGGCAACATGAAAATAGGAAGTTTATCTACATTGAACTCTTTTGCAGAGACTCTTTTGCTGACAGTCCGAAAATCAGCCATGGTGAAGCGGGCTTTTCTGTGGAGAAAGGGGGTGCCACTTCAATTTCCCCCTTTAATGATGCTCCCCATAATTTAATCCTTTAAATTTAAGAGCATGATTACCATTATCTTAGCTTAAAGCCTTATACAATGTCAAAACCTTAGTTGTTGTCATCTTTGCAACAGAAGCTTCTACAATGGACCCAATAGTTTTATGCACAGTGGAGCCAAACATGGGAGCAATGAACAGGTTAACAGCAGAATTCCCACTACACCAGTTAAGCTTTTAAATCTACAAGAGTTGAAAACCATCTCCCAAAAGCATGATTGGGACCCAAACTTTAATGCCCTTCTAGGTCTGAACTAACATGTGCTGGTTCTCTTGTGTTGTTGGCTTGTAATTTGTCTCTTGGATGCCACAATCTGAGCTGTTGAACTCTCCACATATTTCTTTTTTGTCAACCAGTAAGTAATCTAATGCCCAGTGATTTTGATAGTTAGCCACTCGCATCTGGTCTGTTGTATGAACAGGAGGTCAAAGGCTGTGGCAGTCTGATTAATAATGATTTCTAGTACAGCTTGTAAGTGAATAATTATGTTTAACATGTAAATAGAAGTTCTATAGGTCCAATTGCCATTTTGTGCCCAGGTATCTGGAGCATAAGTGACAATAGTCCTCTGGGGTGGCCAGTTACCTTCACCCCAAGATTGGTGACCTCCTAAATCAAGTTTCTTTCCAATGCACCCCTTTTTCCTTTCCATCTATAGCATTCCTCTGGTGGGACAGGTCCTAAATATATGTTTTACCATCTCTTATAGTGGATTGGCTTGACACATGGTTCACATGATCTCTATGGTTGGAATAAGAGTAGGGCAGAATCCCTTAAGGTTATCAAAGGAAACCAAACTAAATAATAGACTAACAATTTGGTTAGCATAGGCTAAACAGCATGAATTAACAAAGCCAAACTAATAACACCAAACAAATCCTCCAAAGCTTATATAAGCAAGATAAAAAGTATAAGTGAAATTTTGTTACCCAGAGTCCAGTCAGTAGGAGTTACTGTTATCAAACCAGTAGCTAAAACCAGAGAACTGTGCATATATCCAGAAGCAAGCGGTGTAATGCATCACATATAGGAACTCTCTTAGAGATTGAAAAAGTCCGTTAGTCCTGGTGGGAAGTTTATCTGTCATGGGGCATTGATCAGCCAGTCCCTCCTGTGTGGCTGAAACAGGGCTGTAGTCTCCTCAAGCTTCGGCCGTGCGTAGACCAGTCAGCTTCCGGAGTGACTGGAGTAGGGCTGTTGTCCTTCTGATCCTCAAGCTTCTCCAGTGCTCCTTTTTCTTGGGGATGGTCAGCTTCAAGGGTGTAGCAGCATCTGGAGAGCACTCCCAGTCCGCAGCTGCAGGCGTGAGTCTGGTGTAGTGAATCCAGGGACCTGTCTCTGCAAACTTGACTGCAGCTGGGGTGGATAAAATGACAGAGAAAGGGCCCTTCCAAACAAGTTCAGGGGGTGAATATTCCATTCTTTGACCCAGACTCAATCTCCAGGCTTGAAGGAGTGTGCACCTGGGTCAAACTTACTGGCAATCTTTCTCCTACCCATTGGTTGAGAACCTGTAAAGTTTTCCCTAAGGCCTGAAGCTGTCCTCTCAGGGTTAATTTTCCTGTCTCTCTTAAGTCTCCCTGTAGTCCCCTGATAAGAGGGAGCCTCCTGTGTATTATCTCAAAAGAAAAGAATCCATTCCTCCTAGTGGGAGTGGATCTAATCCTCAACAGTGTAATAGGGAGCAGTTGATCACAATGTAATTGAGTCTCCTGACACAGCTTACCCAATTGAGCCTTAAAGTCCTGTTCATCCCTTGAACTTTACCAGAACTCTGCAGCCTATAGGCAGTATGTAACTTCCATCTGACGTTACACTCTTGGTCAGTAATCATATTATCTCTGCCCAAAAGCTGGCCCATTGTCTGTGCCAATAATCATTGGGACACCAAATCTGGGAATAATTTCACAGAGAAGCATCCTAGTATCTCCCTAGCCTTTTCAGTGTGGGTGGGAAAGGCTTCCACCCAGTCAGAGTGGGAGTACAAAAAACCAAAAGTTACTTATAGCCCTGTGAGCGTGGAAGTTCAGTGAAGTTTACTTCCAAGTCTTCAAAAGGTGTCCCTCCTATAGTTTGGATTCCTGGTGGGAGTTTTGGCCCCTGACAAGGATTGTTGTGAGCACAAACCTCACATTATTTGCAGATCATCCAGGTGTTGCTTGTGAGCAGGGGACATAGAAATGTCAACTCGGAACTGTCTCAAGTGCTGTATGTCCAACGTGTTTTCCTGCGAAACTGTGTTGATAAAGGCTGGGGCTAGACTCTCTGGGATGGCTATTCCGGGCATCAGAAAATCTCCATCATCCACCTGGGAGAAATTTCCTTTTTCAGTCTTAAATCACTTACTTTCATGTTGGGAGTATGTTGGCTCCCTTTCTGTTAGCTAGTCGGCCAGGCAGAAGGGCAGCATTTAAACCTGGGACTGGATTTTCTTCCCGTTTCTTGCAGACAGCTAACTTGGCCTCTCTGTCAGCTCTCCAGTTGCCCTGAGCAACCACAGTGTTTCCCTTTTGATGACCTCGGCAATATATAATCACAGCCTTCCTGGGAGCCCACACTGCGTCCAAAAGTTTAAGAATTTCTTGCCCATACATTATGCCCCCTTTTTTTTCTCCTGGATTAATTAGCCTACATAAGGCCCTATGGACATGAAGGGTAGAGAACGCATATTTTGAGTTTATGTAAATATCCGCACAGACTCCTGCTGTCAACTGAGTCAAAGCAATAAGTTTTACTTTTGTACTGAAGTTCCCTGAGGCAGAGGTTCTGCCTCGACAGTGGAGTCCAGGGTGACCACTGCATACCCAGCAAAACATACCCCATCTTTTATGAAACTGCTTCCATCTGTGAAGTACTCTGCACCAGCATCCCTGAGGGCTGGTCTGCCAGGGCTGGTCTGCTGGAGAACACTTCACCCATGACCTCAACACATTGGTGATCAGGTTGTCCAGGTCCAATGGACAGCAAAGTTGTGGGATTTAGAGTTCTGACGACCTCAACAAGGATACGTGGGTTTTCACATAACATGCTCTGATATTTGACCATTCCTTCATTAGTCAACCAGTAGTGTCCTTTATATTTGAACAATGTCAAAATTGAATGAGGAACTCTGACAACCAATTCTTGTCCCATGGCCAGTTTATCAGCTTCCAACACCAGAAAGAGCTATGGCTGTAAGAGCCCCCAAAAAGGTGGCCAGCCCTGGGCTACAGAGTCCAGCTGTTTGGACAAATAGGCCACTGGACCTAGACGGTGCCATGTCCCCAGCATCTGAGTCAAAACCCCCACAGCCACTCCAGACGGTTCAGGGACATACAGAAAGAAAGGCTTCCTGAGGTCAGGGAGCCCTAGGCCAGGTGCCCCAGTGAGTGCTTGTTTAGTGTCCTCAAAGGCCTTTTGCTGTGCTGCCCCCACATCAGAGGATCTCGTTCTCCCCCCTTTGTGGCTTCATAGAGGGGTTTTCTATAACTGAAAGTTGGGGATCCGTATATGGCTGAACCCAGCAGCCCCCAGGAATTCTCTGGTCTGATGACAGGTTGGAGGGCCTGGCATTGAGCAGGTCTCCTGTTTCTGTTGAGGCCCAGTGGTGGTTGTGTTGCTGAGTCAGATGGTAACCAAGGTATTTGGCTTTTTTTTGATAGATAGTCAGAGTCCAGTGCTGTCCCAAGGGTGGTGTACTCCAGCCCCTGGGAGGAACTGTCATTTAGGGAAGGGAGGCGCACACAGAGCCTCTGGTGCTTTAAGACGCAGGAATTTTTTGTTATCTCCCGGTGCAGGATGTTGGCTGCTGGGATTCTCCAACTCTCAAATCTGATGTAAATCTTAGCAGAGGCTGATGACCTGGGACACCATTTGTATAAAAGGCACCGATGTCAGTCTCGCCGTGGGCCATCTGCCAAGGTTGGAGGACAGCGTTGCGGGTCCGTGCAGGTCCCCGCGTGGCAGCCACATGTGCCCACCTAGGTGTTGCTCTCTCTGTGGTTTTCTCCTCTTGCCAGGTGGGAGCTGCTCTAACTGTATACAGGAGCTGCCCGCTTGTGTTTTGTTCAGGTGCCTGGGCGCACGGGGCTCTGTGTTCCTTCCTGCTGGTGGCTCACAGCGTGTGGCTTGGAGCCGGTGACAGGTCCTTTTGGAGTGAGCGCCCTATGGCCCACTCCTGGCTGTTAACATGAACATATTCCGGGTTCATTTGGGGCTTGCAGCAGCTGGGCCCTCCTGAGGCGCTGGCCCCCGTGCATCTGATGCAGTCTGTGTCTCTGGGACCCTGCCATATTCGTCAGTCATCGACTTCTGAGCAAGTCGAAGAAACCGAAAGGAGGGACTGGGGCCAAAACCTTCGCTCCTTCTCTGTTCAAGGCTTAGCATTTGAGCACGGCAGTGGGTGCTTGTCCGCCGGGGCCATTGGAGGCTTCCCCCTTAGTCTGGCCACACTTTTTTTTTCCTTATAAACATTTGGACCCTTGGCTTTGTTCTAGTGAGACCCCCTTGGAGTGACCTCTGGGTTTGTGGTGAGGGCTGCTGTAAGTGATCCATCCTCCACCTCATCTTTCTGCTCTGCCTGTCTTTGAGGCTCTGGATCTCGGCTGATGAAAACTGTGGTGGCCACCTTAATCAGCTCAGAGCACACTTCTCAGTAAAGTCCTCTAGGATTGTAATTTTTGGCAAATGGCTCTCTGAGCCTGTCCCACAAAGGCTGCACTGATCATCTGTTGCTTGCGCCTGTGCGTTTTTTCACTGACAAACTTGCACTGTGGCTGCAATGTTTGTATGGTGCCCCTCCTCCCTTGGGCACCTCTGGGCAGGGACAGGGACAGCAGAGGCAGTGGCCTGGACATTTAGCTCTGAGTCAGTTGGGCACATCTCTGTTGATCATTGCTGCCAGTGTCATAGGGCAGAGGGGCCTTAGGCAGATGTGGGGCCCAGTTCAGGGCTATGGAGGGTGCGAGAGGGAGACGCTGGAGCAGCAGGAGGCTTATCTGGGCTCTGTTTGTCTGCAGATGCCTTTGGCTTAGGCCAGGCTCAGGGCTGGCTCCGATCCCTTCTAACTCCTGGGCACAGACAGTGTGTTTTATTATTTTTTTCCCCTTTTCTTTTAGACTTCCTATGAGGCCTCTTGAC